TTTGTCGTGGAGTTTTCAGCTCCCGACCAAACGAATATCATCCGAAAAGAGGAGTTAAAACGGATGAAATATCGAGATTTTCTCTTCAAACTCCGCAGACTCTATCCATACCACTCTGTCGAGATGGTTGTTCTGATAATTGCAGTCCTTGGTGGAATGACACCCTTTCTACTCTCTAATCTCTAATGATACCGGCTTGCCTCACTAAGGCAGACATCTTAGCCGGACAGATGCAGAAGGCTGTCATTCTTGGCTCACTACGCTTGCTCAGGGCACATGATTCTCGGACCCAATGATCACTTACCATACGGTGTGGGGACTGGTCGTTGGTTGATAATGCTGGCGCGCCCTCACAAATGTGTCAAGGCTTCGGGGATAGGGCCTGACCAGCGTATACTACAGAAAAAAATTGTTCTGTTTTATTGTCCAAAAAACATCTGGTCTTTTTGATAAAGCAACTTTGTCTATACAGGGTGAATCTCCAGGATCTGCATCGAATATGGGAAAACTATAATTAGGAAAAATCTGAAAATTTTATAATATACTAAAGTCGATGGATAAAGTCTATCAAGGTAGTATAATCGAAAGAGCCGTCATTCTAAAGCCTGTGTAGATCATGGAATACTTCTAAAAAACCTCTTTCACCATGGCATCCGTGAAATTATGCATAAATGGTTCAAGAATTATCTTACGGACAGAAGTCAGATTATGAAAACTTCATCACCCTCATGAGAAAGCGAAATAAAAATGGCGTACAACAAGGTTCAATACTGGGGCCGATACTTCTTTGTTGCGCATAAACGATTCAACATCTATCGATATAGAAGGAAAGTTTACCCTATTCGCCGATGATACCACAATATTATGGCACGATAACATTTTATATGATCTTCATTAGATTATAAGATAAGATATAAAAATGAATAACTGGTGCGACTCCATTTAATGTTTACAAAACAAACAGCATACCATTGAATACAAAGGACGCAGACAATATGATTGAAAACAGGCCTAGTTTTCTAGGTTATTTCAAAATTGTGTTAGATATTTTTGAATTTTCGAGAGTATTTCAATAACCACGAAACGTTTCTTCATTCAACTCATTAAGATAAATACCAGATCACCTGATATCATCTATTTCCTCACGTCCTACATTGAATCGATTATTCCACTTGGTAGAAGAAATATGACAGCCTAATACCGGTTTCTCTAAATTAATTGGTTGTTTCAATAAATGATGTACCCGGCCAAGTCAGCCATTTATTTTCTGACACGACGAAAAAGGAAAGATTTATTTATAGCGAACATTAATTGAAGAGCTACAAATCAGACTCGATTAATTATTTTATTCGGTGGTAGCCGAAGAGATCTTTTAATAATAATAACCCATCTAGGGCTTCCCAGAAATCATTAGTTCATTCGATAAATCAGATTCAGTGACGTAAAGTTGAATGTTTATGGCGATAAAGTAATTATTCCATGATTAATTGGCTTAAATTGGCCTAGTTTTGGGGAAACGAATTGATATTTTGTTCTTCCAAGGTTTTTTTTGAGACGAAAAAGGGTTGNTGAAATTCTTACTGAACGGATCAACTTGCATCAGAATTTCTTCTATAAAATTTGTTTTTCAGATGAATGTACGTTTAGTTTGAATGAAGAGGTGAATCGGCAAAATTGTCGATATTGGAGTGATATGAATCATCATTTATACCATCAAGTTCATACCCAACGACCTGAATAACTGAATGTTTGGCAGGAATTTTAGGTGACCACATCATAGGACCTACTTTATAGATGATAATTTGACCAGTCATGAATATTTGGATATATTGGAAAATCGAATAATACCGTGCATCAATCGAAAACGAAATAGTTTTTCAGCAGGATGGTGCACCTCCTCATTATGCAGCTCCAGGGCGACAATTTTTTGATGATTATTTTCCTGATCGCTGAATTGGCAGAAGAGGTCCTATAGAATGGCCACCAAGATCTCCGGATCTCATTCCTGTAGATTCATTTAAATGGGATTATCTGAAGTCTAAAGTGTATGAGATAGAATCAACAACATTAAAAGATTTAAGAGGGAATATCACGAGGCATTGCAGAAAATTAACTATTGTACTATTATATGGAAGTTTTTGAACATTAACTATAGAAAATTCTTCTCTTCTCATTGTCCAGTCATCAGATTTTAATTCAAGAATTGATGAAAAATCTCTTTTTCTGATTTATTGCTTCCATGTTTGTCTCTAGAACAAATATTCCAAAATGTGGCTTCCTGCATAATTGTTGACCTGTTTTTTTATTTTCCCTGCAAAATCATTGTTTCAAAAGTTATACAGAGTGGCTCCTTTTCAACTCAAATAATTTGTAACTCCCGAGCCATGAGCTTCAGACCATATGTTTTATACTTTGTTGAAATCTGTGAATATGTCGAAATGTGACCCCCTGTATACTCCTGTATACTATTGTTGACCTGTTTTTTTATTTTTCTTAAAAAACATTGTACCAAGAGTTATTCATGGTGGCTCGTTTAGTATTAATATTAGTATTATTCTACAAGTTTTTATGTCAGTGTTGGTGGTTTGACCAATTAACTGACAACTGCGGTAGCAGAAATTTGGGAAGCTAACCTGAACTGCCATCGGAAAACGAATCCACATGTTTCTAGAATTGATATGAAATCGACAAAGGTTAATGCAGTCAAGCTGCTGGAAAATAATTCCATGAAAATCAAAAGAAAAATAGATAAGTACTTTCTGATCATTCCCATATTGATTTCAATTTAAGAGCCACCGGTAGACAACTGTTTCAGCCTCTTGGGCATCGTCAGTACCGGGCAGGCGGTCCTCGATTGAAGACAAAATGGGAAAATACAAAGAAAGTACTTGATAAAAATAGCTACGTCTCCACGGGAGACTATGATGGAGTTACAGAGGAAGTGACAGGTTTTTTAAATTCATCATATATTATTAAAGTAACCTTTCGTTAGGAGATTATGTAACGTTCCAAAAGCGGTGCTCACTGTCAACAGTATATGTCGACCGCACACTAAACACTGAGTCATGCGAAGAGAAGCGAAAGAATCGTTTGTTCAGAATACAGCTAGCGCTGCGTGTTAGAATGAAGAGAAAGGGGAGTCAGACATACTGGCATCGTTATGCGTTACGTTACCAAGCGGTTTACTCTCCCATAAGGAGCTATCACTTGAATATTCTGGAAAAAATGTCCTGTATTAATGTTAGGTCTGAAATTTTCCTACCTCCAATACCTCGTTATATGAGAATAAAGGAAAAATCTGAAAATTTTATAATATACTAAAGTCGATGAATGCAACTTGACTGGAACTCTATCAAGGTAGTATAATCGAAAAAGCCGTTATTCTAAAGCCTGTGTAGATCATGGAATACTTCTGAAAAACTCTATCACTATGGCATCCGTGAAATTATGCATAAATGGTTCAAGAATTATCTTACGGACAGAAGTCAGATCATGAAAACTTCATCACCCTCATGAGCAAGCGAAATAAAATTGGCGTACAACAAGGTTCAATACTGGGGCCAATACTTCTTTGTTGCGCATAAACGATTCAACATCTATCGATATAGAAGGAAAGTTTACCCTAGTCGCCGATGATACCACAATGATGATAACATTTTATGTGATCTTCATTAGATTATAAGATAAGATATAAAAATGAATAACTGGTGCGACTCCATTTAATGTTTACAAAACAAACAGCATACCATTAAATACAAAGGACGCAGACAATATGATTGAAAACAGGCCTAGTTTTCTAGGTTATTTCAAAATTGTGTTAGATATTTTTGAATTTTCGAGAGTATTTCAATAACCACGAAAAGTTTCTTCATTCAACTCATTAAGATAAATACCAGATCACCTGATATCATCTATTTCCTCACGTCCTACATTGAATCGATTATTCCACTTGGTAGAAGAAATATGACAGCCTAATACCGGTTTCTCTAAATTAATTGGTTGTTTCAATAAATGATGTACCCGGCCAAGTCAGCCATTTATTTTCTGACACGACGAAAAAGGAAAGATTTATTTATAGCGAACATTAATTGAAGAGCTACAAATCAGACTCGATTAATTATTTTATTCGGTGGTAGCCGAAGAGATCTTTTAATAATAATAACCCATCTAGGGCTTCCCAGAAATCATTAGTTCATTCGATAAATCAGATTCAGTGACGTAAAGTTGAATGTTTATGGCGATAAAGTAATTATTCCATGATTAATTGCCTTAAATTGGCCTAGTTTTGGGGAAACGAATTGATATTTTGTTCTTCCAAGGTTTTTTTTGAGACGAAAAAGGGTTGAAAATGTATCAGAAGTTGTTTCCATTGAAATTACGATTGTCAAAAGTCTAAACTCGTGAGTACTAACGAGGATCAACGGGGTCTATCATTCCAAAGTTGGATAAATTCCACAACAGTAGCTGTCACCTGAACAAACAGGGAAAAAATATCCAAATCTGACTGAACAGGCATGTATATCGTCATCATATGGAAAGAATAGCATAGTTTATTGAACGAAAGTCATTTTTTGTGGAGGAAAATCAATTTTCATCGACCTTCTCTGGGTATTTTCATAGTTGAGCTAGCTTCGTAAATTCATTATACAGTGTCACCATTGAAGTGCGCACCATTTGGGAAACTTTTTTTTCGAAAAGTTTCAATGAAGTTTAACTTCGGCACTTGTTTAAATTTAATTCAAAATGATGCGGCCAATTGCGACCCACTGACGTTCAGTGTTTGTCAAATTCAATTCAGGGGAAAGATGGGGGAATTTCAAATTTCATTTTTAGTCATATTTTGAACAATCTTACTGATTTTCAGCTTCGTGGAAATTTAGGTAGATTTACTCTTATTTTTTGGTCTGATTTGACTGGACTAGTTGGGAAAAAACTCCAGTAACATTCATTACTACACCGAAAGTTCCAAACTATGCATCACAAATAAAGCAAACTTGTTGTGACGAAAAACACTGTCTTTTAATCATCTATGTTATTATGAATCTCAGACAAAGTCGTATTTGAGTCCCCACTTTCAGACGCAGCATCCCTGAACCAATACGGATCAACCTTTGAACTTCCAGTTATGTTCATCATCTCCCTGATACAAGCATTCAAAGCAATGTCCTGAATCTTCTTTCTCCGCAGCAGGATCTTCATGTTCTTCTTCAGTTCGTACAACTCGTTTTTCAGATTGACGTAGCTCATGACGTCAGGGACTCGATAGTTATTCCTCATATCCCTGTAGTATTCATATTTTTCAACAACTTTGTTAAGTTCATCGTCAGTCTTGTCCAATTCATCTTCCAGCGCAAGAGTTTCCTTTTCTTTCTCCGCCACGGTTTCCTTCAGTTTATTGTAGTCCTCTTGCTGGTTCTGGAGATATTTTTTGTGTTTGCTCAGCACCAAATTTGCACCTAAGACAAGAAACATGTAAGATATGCGTCATTTCCGAATGTCTGGAAAACTTTTTCACAGGTGTAAGGCTTTCAAAAAGCGCGAAAAAAAAATTGAATTATACGCTTCAAGAACGGATTGAAATAGTGAGTTTGTACTACCAGAATGGAAGTAGTGCTAGAGCTGCTGCCCGTATGTTCAATGATCATCCAGGAGGAAATGTACGACACAAATACGTTTCGGAATTATTGAACACATTCATGGAAACTGGATCTGTTAACAATAAAAAGCGTGACCGTTCAGGAGTTGTCAATGATGAACGGATCAACTTGCATCAGAATTTCTTCTAGGAAATTTGTTTTTTGGATGAATGTACGTTTACTTTGAATGAAGAGGTGAATCGACAAAATTGTCGATATTGGAGTGATCTGAATCCTCATTCATACCATCAAGTTCATACCCAACGACCTGAAAAACTGAATGTTTGGCAGGAATTTTAGGTGACCACATCATAGGACCTACTTTATTGATGATAATTTGACCGGTCATGAATATTTGGAAATGTTGGAAAATCGAATAATACCGTGCATCAATAGGGTAATTGAGGATAAAAATTTATTCGAAAACGGAATGGTTTTTCAGCAGCATGGTGCACCTCCTCATTATGCAGCTCCAGGGCGACAATTTTTGGATGATTATTTTCCTGATCGCTGAATTGGCAGAAGAGGTCTTGTAGAATGGCCACCAAGATCTCCGGATCTCACTCTTGCAGATTTATTTGAATGGGGTCATCTGAAGTCTAAAGTGTATGAGATAGAATCAACAACATTAAAAGATTTGAGAGGGAATATCACGAGGCATTGCAGAAAAATAACTCACGAGATTCTCAACCATGTAAGAGCGGCAGTGAAAGTTTGTTTGTACTATTATATGGAAGTTTTTGAACATTAACCATAGAAATTTCTTTTCTTCTCATTGTCCAGTCATCAGATTTTAATTCAAGAATTAATAAAAAAACTTTTTCTGATTTATTGCTTCCATATTTGTCTCTAGAACAAATATTTCAAAATGTGGCTTCCTGCATAATTGTTGACCTGTTTTTTTATTTTTCCTGCAAAATCATTGTTTCAAAAGTTATACAGGGTGGCTCCTTTCCAACTCAAATAATTTGTAACTCCCGAACCATGAGCTTGAGATGTTTTATACTTTGTTGAAATCTGTGAATATGTCAAAATGTGTCCCCCTGTATACTCCTGTATACTATTGTTGACCTGTTTTTTTATTTTTCTTAAAAAACATTGTACCAAAAGTTATTCATGGTGGCTCGTTTAGTATTAATATTAGTATTATTCTTTTAAAAATGTTTCATCTTGATCAAAGCAAATATTGTATGTAAATGATTCGATTTTCAAAGCATATGACTTCGAAAAGTTCAAATTTTTACTGACATAAATAACTAACATACATATTTCCATCTTGCAATAATAGATGCAAACCAGATTCATAAAATGCGAATGAAAATTTCCAAAATCAAAAAAACCGTAGACAAACAAGCCCAAAATTCTTCTGGTATATAAAATAAAAAACCCACCTCCATTCATCTTCTTCAGCTCAATTAGATGCAGCTGCTTCTGCTCAATTTTCTCCAAGAAATGTTTATTTTCGATCTCCAGCTGATCAAAATCCACGGCATGCACATTTTCTCTCAGCTCCTGTCGCTGTATTAGCACGCCAGACACTTTCTTCAACTGCCCCTTCAAAGAAGCAGTTCTCAGCCTCAGCTTCTCGATATTCAACGTAGCACTCTTCAACCAGTCCTCCATGTACTTGACGAACTTCTCCGCTGGGATTCTCTGAGTGAGCGGGTCCACCGCTTGCGTAACTATGTTGAACTCAAAGATGTTCCTCGCTTCTGTAATATCTATTTCCCTGATGCTGAACTCCTCCAGCTCTGCCTTAAGGTTTCTCTTCAGCCGGTGGCTCTTCTTGACGTAATGCTCCAAGCTCGACTGGATCTCCTCTGTCGCTTTCAAAACCATGTCGTTCTTCTGGGAAAGGTTTATTTTCGGTCCCTTACCCTCTATCAACGAAGAAATGCTGGTGTACGAGTCCAGCTTGGTGCTCCTCCTGGTGACACTTGGCACACCCAAAGAAACAGAAGCTGACATCATATCAGTAGCAAAAATCGCTATGTTGGGGTTTTCTGAAATGCCTAACGCGTACTTGAACAGACTCTCCAGTCCCTCCATTGCTAGGGGGTCATTGTTTTTCAGGAAATCGTAGAAAATCATGTTCTCCAGCACCAAATGCCTCTTCTCAGTCTCCATCTCGCTTATGAGGTCTATCAGTTGTTGGTCGGAGAGATCATCCAGGGGATGCTTTTGATCTTCTTCTGTGATGTCGGAGTCTCTTTGGGAGAAGCTTCCTTGGCCTTCGTCGCCTGGATCATACTCTTGTTGTACATATTCATCGTCGAACATATTTTTCCGGTACAATATACGGTGAGTTGACAGTTTGGTTTCTGGCGTTTCACTATATTATGTTAGATCGATAATAATTCGTCGGTTACCAAGACAACGTGGCTCATTTAATAAATACGAGTTAATATCCCGAAATGTATTGTCATGAAGCTATATATCCACTTCATGGAAAAAATTTGGTGGAAGAAGTAAACTTTACCTTCTCCTATGTACAATTTTTGTTCACTACAAAAATTAATGGATTGTGAACCAAAATTTTCGAGTTATTATTTTATATAAAATCAAGCTGACTCAGCAAACTCAAAATACTGGCTGCTGCAACGTTTTTCGTAAATTCTTTAATGAATAATCGTGGACCGTTGCACAGCCGTGGTGGATTCAAATCACGGAGCGATCCATTCATCAGTTATAAATTATGCGGTAGCATGCCTGGCAAATCAAATGAGTTCAAAAACTGTATTGGATGATTCACAGCTTCGGTGGCATCGCGAACTATATCTAAGCTCGAACGATAAACGAAAATAGTGGGCGGAAACTGTGTAGGCAGCGAGAGAAGGCTTATTATGTGAGAGAGATAGAAGACCGGCTTCATTCTCATCCCTACTCTGTGCTGTTTACCTAGTGAGAAGTTACACCGGTGGACGCCTGGCAGGAATAACTGATCTATGATCAGGGTTGAAAATGAATGAATCACTGAAATGGTTATTGAAACATAGAGTTTGATGATGGTAGAGTAGAAATTGTGGTTGACTCAACTCTGTACATATGTTGACAGTTCGAACCAGAAACGTTTTCAAATGCTAACATTGGTATGTGTTTAACATTAGTATGTGTTCACTCTGTGAACGAAATGGCGCAGTACGTTGGATCGAGTATTTTTGTCGAAATATCATAGAGAGGGACGGGTCAGAATGATTACATCATGATATTTATATCCATTTCGGGTCAAACTATGTGACGACGTATGCATCTTCAGTTTGATGGGCATGAACCAAGCGATCAGGATGCAGAGACGAAAGTTTTGTGGAGCACTTCGACAAAACGTGTACAAATTTTCCACTTCTGTAGGTAAATTTGCAGTGAGAGGGGGCGCCACCGTCAATACAGTTATGCACGGACGTCGGAGACGAAACAAATGGCGGTAACGATCCAGACACACCTCCGTAAAGTTGTCGAACAAATACCATTGACGTCCCGTACGAATCAGGCACGATTTCAAAACACTTTATGTGTGAAATTACAGTATTCCCCAGTTGAAATTACAATACTTGTTCATTATCGATTTATTTTACAACGTATCCGCGATGTGAAAATACCGATAACGGCGTTTTAGAGTCTCCGCAATTTACATAATCCGCGCGGGCAAATTATCCTCCAAAGTCGATAAAACGAAATTAAGATTCAATTGCTATGGAGAGTGACCCCCGTCCACGTTCTGCCCCTTATTAAAATGATAGCCGGTTTGGACGACAGAGGGCGCTAACGAGGTCGCTACTAGTACCTCTCCGCTGCGCTGCCATAAATAACCTCCGTCTCTATGCAGGGCCGGCTTTGGGAAGGGACCACCGCCTGAGGTGAATTCCAAAGTAATCACCGGGCAAATATCATTTGGATAACCTGAGGAATCGGTAGGTGGAACAAGCGTCTAGAAAAATGTGAGTTCGTTCTACGCCAAAGCTTCAAGTACTCAATTAGTTTCTTTTAACTTTCTCTTGAACAAGTGTTTCTTCCTGTGGAGTTCTTCCTGTCTACTCTTAATATTTCTTTCTCTCGGAGGAACCAGTCCTCCTAAAATGGCAACAGTACTTTATAAAGGCAGTTCGTAGTTGACTGTGGAGGCACAAAGTCAGAGGTCATTCCCAAAATGCTGTGACTTCCAGTGTCAACCAATAGTCTGTGGCACTCTGCATTGAATTGATTTATGCAATTGGCAATATACAGTCCGTCTAACCTCTCGCTCCAAAAAAATGTGGAGAGGAGGTAGACCTAGAAGGATCTCCTCGGTCGCTGATGGTTGAGTACTGATGGCCAAACAAGCCTGTCTCTGTAAGCCAAAGAACTCCGCCTTAGCCGTTTTCTGTAGAGCTTTCGGCCACCAGGCGATTGCTCCATAAATGATCATTGGTCTGACAATCATCACACAAATCCAATGGATTTGTTTGGGACGTAAACCCCAAGTTTTACCACAAATCCTTCGACAGGTCTGGTTTTGTATAAAACTTTTTCCTAGTGAGAGTTTGAGGTCAGCTTTTCATCAAGGACAATACCAAGATCTTTCACTTCCGTTCCAAATGGAATGACCTCACCATTGAGGGAAAGTGACGTTGAATCGTCCAATTTTCTTCTCTCCTTGTGAAGGGGATTATCATAGTTTTGCAGGGGTTGACATACATCTGCTTCCTCAGGCACCAACTGTGAATAACGTTTATCATGGAGGATACCCTCCACAACGTGGACCTTGCCAAGATGACAAGATCATCTGCATAAGCTTGCCGATTTACTTCTTTGCAATTCTGTTTACCAGCACGGCATAGATCCAGCCATGCTGGACAGTCAAACATATAATAAACATGTATAAGCAAATACTTACAGGAAACACAATTGGTTGGAATGAGTTATCATGAAGTGATTGTGTGAAAAACACAATGAAAGTCTGAAATAACCAGGAAATTTGTAAGTCAGTGATCATGGGAACAATTCATGGTCAACCCAAATTATGAAAAACATGTATAAACAAATACTGGAAACAAGATGGTTGAAATTATTTATCATGAAATAATTGGAGGAAAAATACTATGAAAGTCTGAAATAACTAAGAAATTCGTTATGAACTGGAGTAGTTCTGGAAAATTATACATGTTTCCAGTAATCGTTCATGTATAGGAAAACATATCCGGAACACAAAACCCCCTGAAAACGGTCCTGGCCCGTCAAACCGCACTTATTTAAATAAACAGTACACGATCATGTCGAGGCGATTGTTGCTTGTTTTCTTGTTTATTTTGAAGTGTTATGGTGGGTAATTTGGTAAATTATCCCCCCGAAGGCTGAATTTGTAACTAAACTACGTATTAGCGGTGGATCGAACGGACGGCTAATGCCTATCATTAGCGATAAGGTTCGATTCGTGATGTTTGAATATGCTGACGTGGATGGGCTCAGTTTGAATGGGAGGCTGATGCGGACTTTTTAACGTTTGTGCGAAAGGAATCGTTGCCGGGCGATTACTTCGGAGAAAGCGCGAATGTTTTGCGGATCCATGATGAAACTACGGGGGGTGTGAATACGATTTTCCTTCCCACTACTTTCTGAATTTTTATTCTACCGTTATTTCTGCCGGCCAATTAGTACCACAGTTGAAAACACCCTTTTCTGTAGTATGATAAAAAAAAAATACAGTTCTCGTGACATCCATAACCAGCAAATATATTTTGTACCAGTCAAGAATGTACTTGTTGATGATAATAATTTTATTAGTCTCAAGAAACACACAGTTTTTGGACACGTCAATACAATTTCTAAAATAGGAATACAACTTCCAATCTCATAAAAATTGACTAAAATGTAAAGCCATGAGCTTTTACAAATTATAAATCACATAGCTAACATGTTATATATACTCAAAGTTGAGTAAAAGTTTGGGAGGTGACCACAAAAGTGTCTCTTTCTTCTTGAATAACTTCAAAAAACTGATCAATTTCATATAAAGGATGTTTGGTTAATATTTTCTTCAATAAGTTTTTGAATCTTCTAAATGGCAAGGTACGAAATTCGACAGATAAAGCACTGTACAGCTTAATTCCTATATTATCTGTTTTTTTCAACCTATCAGCTGTAGGAACAAGGTTTGATATATTTCTTCTATCATGTTGGTGTATATCCTTGTGAATAACTTTATTCATCAAGTTTTGTTCAACAAGAAGCAGATTTTCAACCAGGATGAATACAAATAGAGATTTTATCGAGTGTGCATGATATACATCAAAAATTGGAAAATTTGTGGACAGAACTCTCAAAAAATGGAGGCAAACCGCGGACATGTGTTTCTGGCTATTGGCCTCATCAGCGCGGTGCAGCCAATTGCAAGGATGGACAACAACAACAACGCAACCTGCGTGACTTGCTATAGCTGCCTACGTGGTGATGTTAGATGATGCCTGGGAATGCTAGGTCTTCTAATTGAAACCACAAATGTGCGGTTAGCTCCTGTTGGTGACACCGTGCAAATGTGAAGTTTTTCATTTTTGGTAACCAGTTGTTGTCCATCCTTGCAATTGGCTGCACCGCGCTGATGAGGCCAATTGCCAGAAACACGTGTCCGCGGTTTGCCTTCATTTTTGGAGTGTTCTGTCCACAAATTTTCCCCTTTTTGATTTATATCATACACACTTAATAACATATTTATCTCTGTATGGTAAAATGAGTGAACCCTTTCTGTTCTAGCTTTCAGCTTTCGAGTCTTTATTGCCTCTTCATCAGGAACTGAAAGTAAGATTAGTAATCCCTTTCACTTGCCGCGATTTGTAAACATAACGTTTTCCAAACGACAAACACTCTTGGTAAAAAACAACATGAAAATAAAAACTTTACATTACGTAATGATTGATTAGATTATTTGAAATACACTCAGTATTTATTAAATCAAAGTCTCCCATAGAGACTATGATGGAGTCACAGAGGAAGTGACAGGTTTTTTAAATTTATCATTTATTATTAAAGTAACCTTTCGTTGGGAGATTCTGCAATGTTCCAAGGATCATTTTCTGCTTGTTTCGTCAAATTTTACATAATCACTTCCAAAAGCGGTGCTCACTGTCAACAGTCGCACACTGAACACTGAGTCATGCGAAGAGAAGCGAAAGAATCGTTTGATCAGAATACAGCTAGCGCTGCGTGTTAGAATGAAGAGAAAGGGGAGTCAGACATACTGGCATCGTTATGCGTTACGTTACCAAGCGATTTACCCTCCCATAAGGAGCTATCACTTGAAAATTCTGGAAAAAATGTCGTGTATTGATGTTAGGTCTGAAATTTTCCTACCTCCAATACCTCGTTATATGAGAATACTGCAGGACACATTCCACGAAAC